AAAGGCTAAAGGTGCATTAAAATTATTATTTAACCCTTAAAGAACCCAAGACTCAGAGAGGTTAAGCAAATGGTTCAAGCCACGTGGCTAGTTTGATCATTCACTTACCCATGCAAAAGGAAGAAATATGGAACAAAAACCAGATAAGATCTTTGCTCTCTTGGAGCTTAAAGTCTAGTACAGGAGTCATCCACTGCTTTCTACACAGGCCCAGAGAGAAAATATTCATGATTGTGTGGGCCACAGGGTCTCAGTCGCAACGACTTAATTCTGCCATTGTCGTGTCTAAGCAGCCAAAGACAAAACATACGTGAATGGCACAGCTGTGTTACAATACATTTCTATTTACAAAACCAGATTAGGGGCCGAGTTTGGCTTTAAGCCTTTACTTTTGCAAACCTTTGGATAGTGGGAAAGGGACTCACAATGAAATAATTGCATGGCTGAATGTAAAATTCACAGTTCCAAGAAGAGAGTTGTGACTCTGGGTACATGGAGGATGTGGGAGTCAGGGAAGGTGCTCATGACAAGTGTCATTTCAAGTAAGATCTAAGGATGAGGAGTCATTAACTAGGTGAGAAGGAGGCAGGGAAGGAAAGCAGTGTTTTGTGCTGACAGAATAGCTTGTGCAGAGGTCCTGTAGCAAAAAGGACCATGGCTCGTTTTAGACACTGTAATAAGGCCTCGGTTGCAAGAGGGAGCCCAAGAGAGGCCAACTCATGGCGTGAGCTGATGAAGATAACATGGGGTAACAATGTGGTCTGAATCCGGAGAGCTGTGGATTCTAAGGGATGACGTGATTGGATTCTCATTTTGAAGTCCTCACTCTGGCTCCTGGCGAGGGATCCCACTGCTGGAGACCGGAAGAGACTGGGTGGCCTTGATCACCTGTTGCAGCCAGAGCCCAGTCCCTGGAGTCCGTGTCGACATGCAGCTCAGCACCCTTTTCCCCAACTCACCCTTTATTTTATGTTTGCTGTTCCAACAAATCTCTCTCTCTCTCTCTCTCTCTCCTGTCCCAAGTGAAG